AAAAAAAAAAAAAAAAAAGAAAGTTTAGTCTAAGACAGGTGTAGTGGTGCATGCCCTTAATCCCAGAACTTGGGAGGGGGAGGCAGGGGAATCAAAAGTTCAAGTCCAGCCTGGGCTATAATAAAACTATGTCTCAATAAACAAAAGCAAAAATAAAGAGCCGGGTGGTGGTGGTGGCGCGCACCTTTAATCCCAGCACTTGGGAGGCACAGGCAGGTGGATCTTTGTGAGTTCGAAGGCCAGCCCGGTCTACAGAGCAAGATCCAGGACAGGCTCCAAAACTACACAGAGAAACCCTGTCTCAGAACAAAAAAACAAAAAAGGAATGAATAGTCATTCTAGCTTTATTTATAATAGCAAAGAAACATAAACCAGTAAGAGAGTGACTAAGTAAATCAGCTCCAGTGGGGTTATGTAACACCTATATAAAAAAAGAAAACAAGAAAGAAGAGGAAAAGGAAGAAAAAGAAGATGAAATAGTAGTAATAATACTAGGGAGAGGGGACTGGGAGGAGTGGAGGATGTACTTACTGTATGAGAGAATACTGAGAACAACAACAACAACAGAGGTTTGATATGTAGCTTAGTGGTACTATTCTTACCCAGCAAGTATAAAACACTGGATTTGATCCCGAGCACCACAGATTAGAGCATTATAAGCAAATGAGGTGAACAGAGTGAAAAATAATTGAAGAGAGCAGACAACTGGAGAAGTTAAGGATATATACAAAATAAATCTGTTAGCCTTTGAAAACATCACATAGAGGGTACAACCACCTATGGCCAAGATGTACAGCTCCTTGGTAACGCAACTATTTTTATTGTGATAAGATATTAAGTAGTTCAGAATTTTATTGTTTCATATCATCAATCTTCCAGAGGAAAAGCAATCTTGGTGACTGGGAGCAAAGAGCTGACGACATGATGCTGAGACTCTACCATCTTGGGAAGTACTCCTTGGGAAGACTCCGGTGGACTCAAGGGAAGTGGCCAATGGTGAGAAGGAGCAGCATATTAAAGCACAGGAATGGCTATGATTCAGGCAAACACCTTGATGGGCAATTTAAAGGAGGCTTAAGAGGAACTTGGTTAACTTATCTCCACCACTTTCCAGGGAAGGTCAATGTCCTCACTATGAAGATGTCATGTGGTCATCTCACTCCCCGAGAGTTTTTTCTACCCTATGGTCGGCACAAGAAGAGCTCTTAAATTCAACCAGCTGGGGCTGGGAGAGGAGGTCAGTGGTAAAACATATGCTATTGGTTTCAATCTCTGGCACCACTCCAAAGGGACAGGGGCACCGAATTGGCTTTGCTGTGAATTTACACTCACTTATCACTCTACCAGGAAAAGGGGTGCTCATGCAGGTACCATCTCTGACTGCGGGCACATGCCCCTGTAAGTGTATCATGCCTGTACACACTGAGCTTACATGATTTTGAAGAGTGCATAGGACTCCCTCCCACCCAGGGAACACAGCTGTGGTTCCAGTTCTTCAAAGCAGAATCAACAGCAAGGCTTAAGTAAAACAATTCTTTAGTTGGAAAAAGTTTGACAGCATGTGTATATAATGGTTTATCACTTGAACTGTGGAGTGGCAATCGCACAGGCCTTCCATGTGAGACAGGAAATGTGTGAAAGAGAGCTGGTCAGTAAGTAGCCTAGAGCAGGTTCTCTGGGATTCACAGAATTCCTATTTTTCAGGAAGAAAAGTATAGCTTCCTGAGTGGCTAACATTTTTTCATGAACTATTCTTTCCTAAAATATACAGCAAGCAACAGCTCAAAGTTAGGCAAAACCAAAATTCCTACCCAAAAGAGGAAAAGAAAAACCTAAGTAGTTTTTGGGAGAGGGGAGATGTTGGGAGGATCTTACTACACACACAAGCCATGAGAACCTGGAGCTCTCTATGTAGCCCAAGCAGGCTTTGACCTCCTTCTCCTTCCTCATCCCCCACGTACTAGGAATTACTCTAAATTTTGATCACAAAGCTATCCAGCCAGCCATCAGGTGGATCTCTGAGTTTCCTACAGAGTGAGAAGCTGTCTCAAAAACAAAACAATATGACAACAAAATCCAGCTGGATAAACATTACATTGTAACAATAACTTGATTTATAGAGAATTTCTTCTCTAAGTTTTGGTTACAAAAGATCATTATCTGGATGAGTATTTACCAAACAATTCTACATAGCAACACTAAGTTGGTTTGTGGAGAAGCTCCTTTCTTTTCTCTCAGCAGATCCCACTGTTACATCATCGAGTCTCATCACCCCACTGCTCACTTGTGCCCCGAACCCAAGCCGCCACCTTCACCATCCTGAGAGCCTCCTGCTGTCCTTACTCCTGCTAGAGCTCCAGAAGGGTTTTCTTTATACAGGAGCCAGGCTGATAGTTAAAGAAATACCTCTTTGACCATTTCAATTAAAAGGCTGTTCTCAACACCCTCATCTTGCTTTTTTCATTCAATATAACACAGACAATAAATGTTGACTTATTTATTATCCATCTTCCACACAAGAATATAAACTCCATGTTATTCAATGCTTTTTCTTCATCCAATTAAAAGTTGGTATGGAGCAGGCCAAGTATTCAGTATATGCTTGCTAAATAATGAATAAGCATTCTGGTTCTAATTATTGACTGAGTTTGGTTTCTTTCTTTCTTCCTTCCTTCCTTCCTTCCTTCCTTCCTTCCTTCCTTCCTTCCTTCCTTCCTTCCTTCCTTCCTTCCTTTCTTTCTGAGATAGGATCTTATTATATAGCCCTGGCTGGCACTGAAGTAACAGCAATTCTGTCTTAACTTTCTGAAGTGCTGGGATTACAGTCATGAGTTTTCCATTACTTTAAGTTTTGTTTTACATGTTCTGTGACACTATCATCAAACACTAATAATTTAACTTTCAAAGCCCTCTGAGCAGCATCTTTTCTGGACCATTTAATTTAGCATCTACCTTGTATCAGGAAGAATTCAAAGAACAGAGTGAAGGCTCTTGGCTCCTGATGTGGCAAATATGGGGGTCTACCTAGCAACGATGTCAGAACCAGGCCTAGTTCCAACACCTTATCTAGAGTGATTCCTTTTAAAGTAAAAGCCATCGTATTAAAACTGAGCCAGATGAGAATCCCTATAACAGCTCCTTGTTTCTCTCAGAATATGACTGGTTCTGGGGGTGGGCTGTTAGGCCTAAGCGGTCTGGCCTATTACCTCTCAGACCTCCTCTTCCATTCTTCCCTGTCTTGTGCTTACTGTGCACCAAGTATACTGGCCTCCTGTTACCCCTCAAACAGAGCAGGTTGGCTTCCGCTCCAGGACATGTGTACCAGCTGCTGCTGCTGCTTAAAATGCTCTTTACCTAAAGATCCACATGGCTAATCCCTTCAACCTCAGGCTCATAGTTTGACATCACTATTGAAAATAACAACCTAGTATTCCATCCCCTCTATCATGTTCTACTTCTTCTACCTGCTGTGGTTTTACTTTGAATTCTATGAATTTTACTTATATTTATTTTCGTTTTTCTTCTCACTTAAACATAAGCTCTATGAGGGTAGGAATTTGTTATGTTCACTACTCCAAGCATCTAGAACTGCAGCTGGCATATAGCAATCACACAATAATATTTTTGATTGAAGGTAAATGGTCTTTTGATCTTTATTCTGAGAAATACTCATGTCTGGCCTTTTTTTTTTTTTTTTTTTTCTCCCCGAGACAGGGTTTCTCTGTGTGTAGCTTTGGCTGTCCTGGAACTTCTTTTGTAGACCAGGCTAGCCCCAAACTCACAGAGATCCACCTGGCTCTGCCTCCTGAGTGCTGGGATTTAAGCTGTGTGCCACCACACACACCGGCTCAAATACCTGAATTTTGTACTTAAGTTTCATTTTGAATCAATTGTATGACTTATCAGTGTACTTAATCTATGTTTCCCAGTTGAAAGTTAAGAATAAATCCTCACAGAGGACTCAAGGGGATGGGTTGAGAAAAGCAAAAGTACGACAGTTATAGGCTCGCATTAGTTAGAGCTTCCTGCGGTTGGAAGGAAAAAGGCTCTGCTCCTCCTCTATCTTTGACCATTTAGTAAAGGTGCCCATTCACTCACAGCCCATAAGGGAAACTTGAGAGACGCCCCTCCTCCCGCCAAAGAACTAACTATTAATTAGTTAGTAATTGTAAGCAAGCTACAGCGACAGGACAGAGGAATGAAGCATGGCACTCGGACCCCAGACTAGAAACAGGCTTCCAGGTTATTCTGCTAGCCGTTCCTTCCTGTTTCCATTCTTTCTGGTGCTGTGGTACAGGGGTTAAACTTGGAGCCTCATGTGTGCGAGGCAAACACCAACACCGAGCTACATCCCCAGCCAGCTGTTTTTAATAACAAAAGACTGGAACATAGGGTTAAAAGAGGAACCACATAAAATAAATATTATCCAACAAGGCTCTCAGTGTCAGCTGGTCCTTACCTGGTAGTGCTGGAGCTCAATCACAGCAGCCCTCAGTGGAGATGAAAGCATGCTATGGTTGAACCAGCTACCCAGACAGAAAGACAGATGTGCATAAAATGCCACAAAAACTTAAAGCCAGAGTCAAACTCAGACTGAGAGATACTTTGGTAAGTCTGAAAAGAAATAAATAACACCTCTATTAACTATTACTCGGACAACTTACTAGAGGTTTGGATGACTACAATCAGATAGAGAAAGACAATGATAGACTTTCCAGGTTTTAGTAATGCATACTGTTACACAGTGGCTCTGAATTGAAGGTGACACCTGCAGACCCAATCACTGAAATGTAAGAAATATGTTAAGGGGAGATCTAGCCCAGGGAGGAGGGACAGGAATGAAGGAACTACAGTGTTTGGTAGACACAGCCACTCTAAGGCAATGTCCTTGTCCTAGCCTACAGATCTCTGCTTTGAGTGTTTCCATGGACGAGCCTACTTCCCTCATCTCTATGTAGAGCTGAACATCCTCAAGATACTGACTGCCATTATGACTCACAGGGAGTTTGTGCAGCTCCCAATTGTCAACATGGAAAGAAAATGTTTCACAGTCTGAGTAGGTAATCAAGCCTGGGTGGAAGGAGAAGTCATACAAAATGATTGAGATGAAAAGCTTTATTTTGCCCCATAAGCACAGGCCATAAGGCAGGTGCGTGAACAGATATGGACTGTTCTAATAGGATGGTCATGTTTAGGGTAGCTGATGACCCTACTTTTTCTGCTTCCAGTCTGTCACCTGAGAAGGAGAGAATGAATGAAAAATAAAAAGGTCCCAGTAATAATCAGTAATGACCTTACCACATCAATCTCAGTGTTGGAATGTCCCATGTTACAAACAATGCAGCTGTTCTTCATACGGTCCAAGTGCTCTCTGGTTACCACATTCTTGTTACCTTAAAAACAGAAGAGATGTCCACATGAAAAGGAATGAAGTTAGACTCCTACCTCATATAATACAAACACATAGGTGTGTGTATATACACACACACACACACACATATATAATGAAATATATAAAAATCAACTCTACATATATATATATATATATATATATATATATGTATTGGTTTTTTGAGACAGGATTTCTCTGTGTAGCTCTGGCTGTTTTGGAACTTGCTCTGTAGACCAGGCTGGCCTTGAGCTCAAAGAGATCGCCTGCCTCTGCCTCCTGAGTGCTGGGTTTAAAGGTGTGTGCCATCATCACCAGGCTCATAGATCATATTCTTAAGAGCAAAAACTATAAAACTCTTAGTTGTTTAAAGAAATTTTAGAGGAACATAAAGTGAATCCTTGTGACCTCAGGTTGAGCAACAGTCTATTCCCATACAGCACTTTAAAGAGAAGCAACAGAATAAAATAGCGACTAGACTACATCAATACACATACACATTCTTGTCTTATAAATGACCCCACTAAGTGTTTAAAAGACAACAAACAAAATCTTTGTAAATCAAACACCAAAATGGGATTTCTATCCAAAATGTACTTGGGACTCTTACAACTCAGTAATAAAGACAATCTAACTTAAAAATGAATAAAGGACTTGAAAAGATGTTTCTTCAGAGATAGGCATGGCCGAAAGAATGGAGAACATCACTAGCCATCAAAACCATATATTACTTTACGTTCACTGGGATGACAATAAAACACACAGTAATAAAATTGTTGTTGAGATGGGTTGGGGATTTAGCTCAGTGGTAGAGTGTTTGCCTAGCAAGCGCAAGGCCCTGGGTTCAGTCCTTAGCTCTGAAAAAAAAAATTGTTGTTGAGGATGTAGAGAAACACTGTTGGTACAACTGTACAATAGTACCATCACTTTGAAAAATAGTTGGATAATTCCTTAAAACCTTAAAAATAGAATTACTATATGATACAGCGATTTTATTGCTGTTTATACAAATAAGAGAATTGAAAACGTGTTCACACAAAGTCTTAGATTCAATGTTTGTAGTGGCATCATTCATAATGACCCCAAGTGAAACTAACCCAAATATCCATCTACATTCTTCAGAAGAGATAAACTGTGGTATAGCCACACAAAGGAATAGTATTCAGAAACAAAGAGATGAAATATTAATACATGTTATTATATGGATGGAACTTGGAAGCATCGTGCTGAGAAGCTAGTCATAAAAGACTACATATTGTATGACTACATTTTACATAGAATGTCCAGAAAAAGCAAATATGTACAGACAGAAAGATCAGTGGTTGCTTAGGGTTACAGGAGTGTGAAGGATGGAATAAAGAGTGAACATTTATGATAGAGGACTTCTTGTGGGTATGATGAAAATGTTCTAGAATTAGATAATGGGATGTTCTACAACTTCAGTAAAAACCACCACACTGTACACTTTTCAAAGGTGAACACTGTGCTATATGAATTATATCTCAATAGAAAGTCGTAGCAGTTATACAAGCCTGTAAATTTCTATACAGTATTGAATTTTGGTGCTGGGGATCAACCCTAGGACCTCTGAGCTATACCTATAGACAAAACTGAATACATCTGGGTGAAACACATGGCATGCGACTCCTATCCCAACTCAGCTATTAAAAATAAGTTCGTTCCATCCCTTTTACGGGAGAGGAGAGGACCCAGAGGTCTGGTGAATGAAGTAAGAGCAGCTCCTCATGGTCTTTTCCTCTGTCCCCAGTTCTTGCGGAGGCTAGAAACACATTTTATTTCCTTTCTCTAAGAGAACTGCATAAGAAAACCAGTATTCCTATGATTTATGGCTCTAGCATACGATTATAATGAGTTTCTCAAGGAAACTAGCCATTTTTAACATTCCTCCCTAAAATTAAAAATCTACCTGTTTGGGACTGGAGAGATGGCTCAGTGGTTAAGGGCACTGAATGCTCTTCCATGAGGGCCTGGGTTCAATTCCCAACACTCACATAGAGGCTCACAGCTATCTTCAACTCCAGCTCCAAGGGACCTGACACTCACCCAGACATACATGCAGGAAAAACACCAATGCACATAAAATAAAAATAAATTTTATAAAAAAGTTTACCTGTTTTATAATTAACATAGCCACTTTCACTTTTTCTAACTATGAATTTTTCTCTTTCCCTGTCATAATTTATAGGGACTATATACAAGCATATTTTCTTTTTTGTTCATTTGTTTTTTGAGACAGGGTCTCACTATGTAGCTCTGGCTGTCCTAGAACTCACTATATGGACAGGCTGGCCTCAGATTCACAGAGGTCCTCCTGCCTCTGCGTCCTGAGTGCCAGGATTAGTGGCGTGCGCCACCATTCCCGGCGAGCATTTGCTTTTAGGGTGGAATAAAAGATGGCAGGGCAGAGAATGGTACAGTACATGCTGAACATGCTTAATAATAATCACTGTAATAATCACTGGCACATAGTGTTCAAGTTCTAGCTATGTCCTAGGAGGTAAAGGATAAGCAGAGACATAGCAGCAACAAAGGAGGGAGAGAAACTTTCCTCTAGGGATGACCTAAAGGTCTATGCTTGGCCAGAGCTCTAAACAGGTAGGAAAAAAAAACGGGAGAGAGACCATTTTTTTGGTTACCATCTCTAGCATGTGTGTATCTTCCTGTCTGACGCCACAGTGCTGAAATTGTAAGTGCACGACACCAGGCCTAGCTTTTTAAAAAAGATTATTTATTTTATGTGTATGAATGTTTTGTCTAGATGTATGCATGCGTACTACATATATGTCTGGTACCCATGGTCAGAAGAGGGTGTCAGATCTCCTGGAACTGGAGTTATAGATGGTTGCTACCATGTGGGTGTTGGGAGTTGAACCTAGGTCCTCTTCAAGAACAACAACTGTTCTTTGTTGTTGTTTGTTTTTCGAGACAGGGTTTCTCTGTGTAGCTCTGGCTGTCCTGAAACTCACTCTGTAGATCAGGCTGGCCTCACACTCAAGAGATCTGAAAGGCGTGTGCCACCACTGCCTGGCTGCAAGTGTTCTTAACCATTGAGCCAACTCTCCTGCATCCCATGCCTGACTTTTTTACATGGGTTCCTGGGATCAAATCCAGGTCCTCATGTTTATGAAGGCAAGTATTTTACCAAGGGAGCCACCCTACCTCTCAAGCCCTATTTCTGGCTTTAATAATTTGGATTCATCCAGAATATCTTCAATCATCTTGCACTTGCTCCATGAAAGCATTCCCAAATCTCCCCCCAACCCCTGGATACCTATCACAACCATACCTGTACAGGTGATAACAATGTCCACTTGTCGGATGACTTCATTCAGTTTCACTAGTCGGAATCCATCCATACTGTAGAAATAAAGCAGGATCAATTACACTAAGCTGTCAAATGGGAATCTTTCCTTACAAGCTAGCACCCAGTTCTTTAGGTAGCCACAGTGTCACTTCTTGGATAGCTGGAATGCGGCCAAGATGTTCATTTTGTTTGGTTTTGAAGACCGTGTCATTGTGTAGCCCAGGCTGGCCTCAAACTCAGGATCCTCTAGCCTCTTCCTCCCAAGTGCTGGGATTACAGGCGATTGCCACCACATCTGGCCTGGACTACTCTTCAGTCAAAAGTCCAGATCATTTCCTGTGTTTACATAGGAGAAATGCACAAGCTCCCTTTGCATCACGGGAACTAGTTCTTCCTAATAATAGAGAGCCAAGCAAGGGCTGCCGTGAGATTCCCAAACCAGATTTCTAGAAAATGGCAGTTGGCCACTGAATCTATTCTCACTGAACCTGTTCTCCCAAGATCATCAATTATTTTCTGAAATAAAAAAGCCAATATTTTCTGAGTGTCTTATAGTACTTGATTTCTCTGCCACATTAAACACAATTTACTTTCTTAAGACCTAGCCCCCTCTTTGTGGCGGTGGTGATTGAATCCAGGACATTGTTCACGTGAGGCAATCGTACCCCATTTGGCTACATTCTCAGCCTTTCCCCATATTTAAATAGTGGCCCTTGGTGGGGTTCTTCACCGGGCTCTTCTGTTCTTTCAGTACTCATCTTTACCCTGCCTTTGGCTCAGCTGTCACCTACAGATGACTGACTGACTGGCACATCCCTCTTTCACGCCCCAGGTGGGATTAGAACCCAGGCATCGGGCAAACAGGGCAGAGATCTACTGTCGATCTACATTTCCAGCTGCATTTTTTTTTTTTAAACTTGCGTCTCTGGGGTGCTTCATAACCAAGGATACTCCCCCAGATATCTCCTCAAGGACTCCCCAGAGGGCTTCCAAACTTACTTTGTCCCCACACCTCATCTGTTTCTCTTCTATATTCTCTACCCTGAGCAGCAGCATTACTGTTAACCAACTGTATAAGCCAGAGAAACTAAACATTTCTTCCCAGTTCAAGTTGCAACCAATGGGGCTAGAGAGATGACTCAGAGGTTAATAGCACCAGCTGCTCTTCCAGAGGAGCAGGACTTGGTTCCCAGAAACCACATGGTGGCTCACAACCACCCAGAATGAGACCTGGTGCCCTCTTCTGGCCTGCAGGCACACATGCAGGCAGAATACTATATACATAATGAATAAACAAATCTTAAAAAAAAAAAAAAAAAGAAAAGAAAAAAAGAGAGAGAAAGAAGGAATTTGCAACCAATATCTTTTTTTTAAATCCTTTTTCTTAATTCCATTAAAATCTCTTGACTTTATGGCTCCACACGACCTTTTTTGGTCTGAACTTTGTAGACTAGTTTATAGCCTTTGTAGCCTTAAAATTGAGGCAGTTCTCTTGAGGTGCTGGGATTATAGATGTGTGTCCACTGTACCTAGGTCTGCCTCCTTTTATACATACATGCTAGCTTTCCTAAGTTCAGGCCAGTGATGCTTGGTCCAGGTTGTGTGGTCTCTAGGCTACATCCCCAAATCATTTTGCAGCATGATTTCCCTAAGTGCAACTTGGAACATATCACTTACATACTTCAGGATAAGACCCAAATTCTTTTTTTTTTTTTTTGTGATATATATTTTTTTATTTTACAGTATCATTCAGTTCTACATATCAGCCATGGGTTCCCCTATTCTCCCCCCTCCCACGCCCTCCCCTTACCCCCAGCCCACCCTCCATTCCCACCTCCTCCAGGACAAGTCCTCCCCCGAGGACTGTGATCAACTTGGTAGACTCAGTCCAGGGAGGTCCAGTCCCTTCCTCCCAGACTAAGCCAAGTGTCCCTGCATAAGTTCCAGGTTTCAGACAGCCAACTCATGCAATGAGCACAGGACTTGGTCCCACTGCCTAGATGCCTCCCAAACTGATCAAGCCAATCAACTGTCTCACCTATTCAGAGGGCCTGATCCAGCTGGGAGCCCCTCAGCCTTTGGTTCATAGTTCATGTGTTCCCATTCATTTGGCTATTTTTTTTCAATAATTGAGTAAAACTGGAATTTATTATATGCCACAGTTGTCCTAGGGACCTCCATGCTATATATATAGCCTCTATGGTTCTATGGGTTGTGGTCTGATTGTTCTTTATTTTATATCTAGAACCAACAAAGAAGGAGTACATACCATAACTGTCTTTCTGGGTTTGGGTTACCTCACTCAGGATGATTTTTTCTAGTTCCATCCATTTGCCTGCAAATTTCATGCTTTCATTGTTTTTCTCTGCTGAGTAGTACTCCATTGTGCATATGTACCACATTTTTTTCATCCAAGACCCAAATTCTTATACACACTCTGTATCATTCTTCTTGCCTTAGATACTAATACTCCCCAAACTGACCCTATCTGTGGGCTCCTTAAATATGCCACGCTAGCCTTTGTTTGGAGGCTGTGCACCTGCTGCTTGCACAGGACACACACTGCACCAGTTCTGATGCAGCTCTGCTGACATGTCTATCCACACTGCCTCGGGCTTCAGTGAAGACCCTGCCGCCCGTGCTTTTACAGCACTGCACGCTGTTCACAGTGCTTACGGCACAGCACAGCGGGGATCTGTGCTGGTCAAAAGCAGCCTGCCCTCCGTCTGTTCACCTCAATCACTGAGGCACAGCTTGGCACAACACACACAACACAGTAAGCGAGGGGCTTGTGGCTCTGGGATCATCTGAACCGCGCTGTCACCAATGTCTTGTTCGGTTTCTATAGGGAACAGGGTCCTAGGAAGGTGATGGTCCCTGTGTTCTGAAGCTGACAGAAAGCCAGTGACTGTTGCAGAACCAACTCTGCTTTGGCAGCATATGGCTGGGCTCTGTGAGCAGCAGAAAGAGGGAAATGGCTTTATCCTAACCTTCCTCTAACCACTAACCTTAGTGGCTTCTTCCAGAGGGTTAGTGGTGAACACTGCACAGAGACTATAAACTATAGAGAGACACTACACAAACTGGGCTTTGCAGAACCTTCTAGTGACCATGGCGTTTCTCCTCCCGTGGAAGATGGAGGTAACTCCAGTAACAGTTACCACTTGGTGAGGCTCCATTTTGTGACAGCAGCTGAGCCCTGTTATATATTACCTATTTATGATAGTATATAATAATTATTTGACTTAATTCTCACAATACTTTGAGGTAAGGATGATTATCTATTTTTTATTTTATTTTATTTATTTGATTATTATTATTTTTTAGACAAGGTCTGACTATGTAGCCCTGGCTGGCCTGGAACTCAGTTTGTAGACCAGGCTGGTCTTGAAATCAGAGATCTTGTCTCTGTCTCCCAAATGCTGGGATTAAAGGTTTGCCCTGCTGGGATCCACATTTCAGAGAGGAAAAAGGAACTTTAAAAAAATTTTAAATTTGGATTTGAACCTTAAGAAGTGTAAGAATACTACAAACAATTGCCCACATATTCTTCACACAGAGTTAGCAGATTTCACCCTTAGTTTGGATTTGTCTGATATTTTCTCATCGTTAGATTCACAGTACATTTTGGGAAGGTTACCACAGAAATCTTTTTAGTGTGTTATATCAGAAGGTCTCTGACACAGCCTGTCGCATTCCCCTCTCCTCCCCTCCCCTGCCGAAGACTGAACCCAAGCCCAACCTGAGCACATGCTTTACCACTAAGCTACACCCAATCTCTCCTCCCAGCAGGGTGTCAGTCTGTAGCCCAGGCTGGTGGGACAAGGTCTTATTCTATAACCAAAGCTGGCCTGGAACTCACAATCTATTTGCCTCAGCTTCTGGAATGTTAAGATTATATGCCTGAACCTTAAAAAAATATATACTGTTGTATGTGTGGGGTATGTATGTATATATGCATGCATGATGTATGTGTGAGCATGCACACAGGCCAAAGTATACCTGTGGGGAGGTCAGAGGACAACTCTGTGAAGTTGGAGACTGAATTAGGTCATTGGGATTGCAGAGTAAGCACCTGGTCTAGTGCCTCGTCTCCCCAGTGCTGGGGTTAAAGGCATGGCCCACCACGCCTGGCCTGCCTTTTCTTTTTCCGTCATTATTTTCAAAGGGGCAGGGATTACGTATGGAGAGAGACATTAATGGGATATCTGTTCATTAAACCTAAGCATCCCATTACTGTTTCCACAGGAATTCTAAACCTTCACTTCTCTCGGAGCAGAACTCCTTGACTTTACAAGACAGAAGCTTGGGTTCTCCTGGCAGGTCCCTGGATCGGCGTCTAGGATGCATCATGTCAGACAGCAATGTCAAGGAGGAGCAGGTACCCTGCGCACACTCACCAGGCTTGCAGGGCACAGATGGGGTCGATCTCAGTCACATACACAATGGAACCCATGGCTTTCAGAGCAGCACAGCACCCCTTTCCCACCTAAACAGGGAAAGAACACACACAATCAAGTCAGAGAGAACACACTCCTCAAAGCTTCTGGCAAAGGAAGGGTACCCTCCTTCCCTCCCCTCCAAGTAATTTTGCTAAATAGATTCGTGCTTGGGGGAAATCAAGAAAAACAAATAAATGTAGTTCATAAACCAACCCCTGGCCCCTGCTTAGCACATTCATATGCATGAGAACACCCACATTCACGATTTATAATCAAAACACAAGCTAAAAGAACATCACAAACCATGGTGCTAGAACAAGTCAGAAAATCAACTTGAGAAAAAATACAAAGGGAAAAGCAAGGTACTTAACTAGGGACTTCTAAAGTCATGTGTTCCCATCTAAAGCAGTATGACTATACTTATGTCTGTATGCAAAATTCTAGAATATTCCATCAAAATACATTTTAAATATCCAATAAGTAAAAGGGTAAACTTTACCTCTCCATAGCCACAGACTACCACTTGCTTCCCACCAAACATCATATCTGTTGTCCTTTTAAGTCTGGAGGAACAAAAGCAAAGTCCAACCATTAAATAAGAAATGTTCTTTTGTTTCTACTTGAGGTTTGTGCTTTTGTCTTGAATTTTTTTCATTTTTGAAGGAAAGCAATAAAATACGTATTTGTCCATCTAACCAGTTCTAGCTATACATGAGTTTCCCCTCCCACTAGTCTTCCTCTCTTTTTTGGGAGTAGTGCAAAGAGATGTAGATCACACAGGAGCTTGTAAACACAAAAGCAATGGACACTTTTATACTGTGAGTAGATATGGGAAAAAAAGAAAAGATACACATAAGGCAACAGTAATTTTAATTTAGGAAGTGACAAAGTTCTGGCTTAATAGAAACATTATTCTAGCTTACTGTTTTAGAAAGATACCATAAGGAAGGCGTTTAGCAGTATCAGAAGGCCAGCTGGTTCTGCATCAATTCAACAGGGAAATAATGGACAATAATTCAGAGGCCGTGAGTAAAACCTGCTGATGCTGACTACAGACAGTGAGCTTCCTGGGGCTGATCCTGGAGCAGATACCTTCTACCTTTGAATCTGGTTCTCTATGAAGCTGATCCTAGCCGTCTCCACTGGAAAGAACATCTAGGAATGAGTTCTGGTTTTTCTTTGGGTACAACGAGCTTACATTCTCTGAGAATCTTGATTAGGACAAAAGGGTTTAAACTAAAATTCAGTCTATTTTGAGATACACAGCCCCTCCAAATACTTGCAAGACTTCCTGCTTATTTATCCATCTGCTTAGCCCTTCTAGTGCAAAGGGTCTATAAACGCTCAAAGGGAAGTAAGACTCCTATTACAAAACAACTTAGCAACCCCACTCCCCAGAGGCAGCTGCATGTACCTCGTCGAAGCTCAGTTAATACTTCTTTCTCACTGAAGAGGTGAGTCTGGTGGTCTACCACCATACTCAGAAGCCTTGGGTTAGCAGAGCTGCCCTGAGATGGCTAGCAGAGCAAGGACATCAAAGGATCTATTTCTGGACCGCCTTTCCTCTGACCACTTTTCTCAAGCTTTTCCTCGTCCCTCCCGTAGGAAGAAGCCTCTCTTTGTAACTGCACACAGCTGTGGCGGTGTGGAAACTTCATTCACACTGCTCCTCTGCAAATGACAGCCAGGCTACAGACATGGATGGATTCAAGTTAGGCAGTTATTTTCCTGTGACCTCAGGGTCTTCCTCAAGGATGAAGGACAGAAAAGACTTCGTTAAAGGAAGCCTGGGCGGAACATAAGCTGTCTGGAGCTACTTAAGAGCCATGCCAATCTCTTACATTCTCTTCGGCTCTTCTAGTCTCAGAACCCAGAAGAACTGAAACACTAGCTTATAATCTGAAAATCCACTGTGCCATCCTTCTTCCTCCAAGTGGAATCTCAGTCACCACCACCCAGGAGGGGTCGGCAGGGCCTCCCCTGCTGTTTAGGATGCTGTGTGTGCGGTAGTGAACCTTACTGCAACTTGATGGGATTTAGAGTCACTGCACCAAACCTCTGGACATGTCTCTGAGGGAGTTTCTAGATTGTTAACTGATGTGGGAAGACCCTCAACGTAGGCAGTACCATTCCACGGATGGGGTCCTGGACCAAATAAAAAAGATAAGGGCGCATCGGCATTCCTCTCCTTGCTAACTATGGATGCAGTGTGACCAGCAGCCTCAAGCTTCTGCGGCCATGACTCCCTGTCATTTGACTGTACCTGGATAAACCTCCTCTAAGCTGCTCTTGTCAGGGACTCAGTCCTAGCAACATGTAAAGTAACCAATACTGCAAGTAACCATCCTAGAACGATAGAAGATTAAATATTAACACCTTCCTCATGTGGACGCTCTCTTAGCCCACATGCCTTCTCCCCAACCCTTTTCTTCCTAGCTTTGTGAGGTAGGATCTTATACAGCACAGCCTGACCTCAAAATTGTTACATAACAGCCAACAGCCTTAACACTCAGCTCTCCTCCCCAGCTGCTGAGTGCTGGGTTACAGATGAGCGCCAGCCACGGTGCTGGCTCCCACTGCACTTTTCTCTGGAGCAGCTTACCTCTCCTTTCATCTCTCTTGCTCTCCTCTCTACTGAGGGAGCAACTGCCCTTGACCCAATTGCAGCTCTGCACGTCTGCAGGTACCCATGCTCTTGCCGCTTAGCAAATTCAGAAGAGCTGACACTTTCCTGTGTCATCGCCGTCGCTGTGAAATCTAACCTTAACTCCTGCTCAACTGCTTCTTTCTTTGTCACTTTGTACTTTCCACCTTTAAGAATCTCTCTTACCTAAGGAGTAAACTATGGCTGGGAGGGAGTCTATCCACTTTTCTGAACTAGGAGAGTTATCTTCATGCATCTTTTACTGATCCTGGTATAGGCCAACTTTAGGTTCACAGATCTGGTACTTGAAAAGTCTAAAAGATAGTTGTGGGTAGATAAGTATTTTAATGAAATATATACGTTACTATCAATTTGGTCAGAACTGAGGTATCTGTCACAGTGACCCTTACACGTGGACACTCTGACTGACCACTGGGCTAAGAATTTATTAAAATGTTTAGTCTATCTGATACTACTGACTCCATGGTAATATAGTGGGTAACAATAGTTACAATGTGCATTGAACATTCCACCAAACAAAAACAACAAAACCAACCAGCAAAAACTTTTCTTAAGATGTAACTCAATCCTAAAACTTACTATAGAGAGTTCTAGAAAGGCAAGCAAGGTGCTGGGTTTGGTAGCACACACCTGTATTCCCTTGGAAAACTGAAGCAGAGGATACTGAGGCTGGACTGGGCTATGTATCAAGTTCCAGGTCGGCTGGTCTACGTAGTGAAATATTGCCCTACTTTTTATTAAAGGAGAAAGGTAACAACACTGAACAATCTGTCTTGTCTCATTTAACTCGCGTTACCATTTTACAGAGAAGGAACTATGCAAAGGATAAGCAAGGGATTATAGGTAACAAATAAACAAATATTGGACCCAGCATTTAAACGGAGGCCCATGTGATAGAAACACTGCTTTTGGCATATTCTAAGCCATCTTAGAAAATCCCTTGGGAGCTATGATTTGGATCTACAGTGTTCCCAAAGGTCCACATGATAAAGGCCAGGGGTGGTGTCTAGTGGGAGGTTTTCTAGAAACTGGAAACATGCTCATGGAGGGGTAGAGGGAACCCAGCTCCTTCCTTACTCAGAACGTGACCAGTTTTGCTTCATCACCTGATCCTAACTAACCACATGCTGTCTCGCTGCATGCCCCAAAGCCAGTATGGTCATTTGTCCACAGATTAACCCCTCTAAAACCCAGAGCCAAAATTAACCTCTTCTTTTCAACAGTTGGTTACATCCAGTATTAGTTACACGAACAGAATGCCGACTGCACCTGGGGTCTCCTAGCAGCAGCGAAGGGATGTGAACACAAGGGTGGAGACGGAAGCTGAGCACTGTCAGACCTGCAATCCTCACAGGGCAGAGAAACCAGAAATGCTTCTGGGGATTAGCTCTTTGCTTACCACAAGTTTCTAGATAGTCAAGAAAGTGTATGACAGCAATAACATAAGAACTATACGCTATGTTCCAGGAACCATGACCTGAAATAGGGTCACCTGAAACCTCTTTCAAAATCACTTGTATGCCATTTTAATGACACAAAGTCTGAAAGGCTCACAAAATATGAACTCTGCTTACCAACAGAAGCTCAGTTCTTTCTAAAAACTGTATTTATTTTTATGTGTATGAATGTTTTGTCTGCATACATGTTGTGTACAAGGTGTGTGCCTGGTACCTGTGGAAGTCAGAGGAGGGCACCAGATCCCCTAGGCCTGGAATTCTAGGTACTTGTGAGCTGCCACGTTGTACTTGGAATCAAAGAGGTCCTCTGGAAGAGGAGCCAGGGCTTGTAATCACTGAGCCATCTCTCCAGCTCCCAGTCTCATTTCTTAAGTGAAAGAGATTTTCTTGTAATAGCGATAGCAACAGAGCTCTGGGTTATAAAGTCCTGGGTGTGATGTGGTGAAACATGAAACAGTTCCAGAAATAACTAAAACCAAAGAAGCTGGAACCTTCACTCAATAACCCAAGATCATCTCAACGATAACAAACATTACCCATCAAGAATAGATTCACGGCAACAGTAGAGGTTATCAAATTTCTGTTTAGTGACCGAGTCATTGACGTTCATGGCTGGAACACACAGCTTCCCAGCTTTGGACAGTTGGTACAGCCTGCAGATGGGAGAAGTCAAGAAGAACATAAAACAATGAGACACTACAATCTACTGTTGGTTTTACGTCAGATCTCTGAAATATATCGATAGACTGAGCATGAGAGCATAAGACATGACTAATTTCATCCTACTAAACAGATACTGAGAAACAGACAATGTCTTTCTAGAGGCTGTACACATAAGGCTCACAATCAAAAAAATCATGTGGAGAAAATCTTTGATCCAACTAAATTTCAAGATTTTAAATGAAAAACTTTTTTTTTTAGAAAAGGTTTGTTTACTTAATTAATTAATTATTTATTTATTTAATTATTTATTTTTAATGTGCACTGGTGTTTTGACATGGGTGTCAGACTGCCTGGAACTGGAATTACAGACAGTTGTGAGTTGCCATGTGGGAGCTGGGAATTGAACTTGGGTCTCCTGGAAGAACAATCAGTGCTCTTAACCACCGAGCCATCTCTCCAGGCCCTGAAAAACTTTTAATTGCATATAAATCTTTTTAATTTTGTTTTTCTAAAGACTAAGACTTCTGTTTTGTGACTTCTTTGATCTTTTAAAACTAAGACACTGTGTAGTTCTGGCTGGCCTGGAACTCACTATATAGACCAAGCTAGCCTTGAACTCACAGAGATCCACTGGCCTCTACTGGTATCAAAGTTGTGTACCACCATGCCCAATCCAAGACTGAGACTTTAAAAAGTTGATTTTTTTTTAGAAGATTTATTTATTTATTATGTATACAGTGTTCTGCCTGCATGTGTACCTTCCCACCAGATCTCATTATAGATGGTTGTGAGCCACCATGTGGTTGCTGGGAATTGAACTCAGGACCTCTGGAAGATCAGCCACTGCTCTTAACCTCTGAGCCATCTCTCCAGCCCAAAAATTGATTACTTTTATGTGTATGAGTGTTTATACTTGAATGTATGTATGTGTGACACATGGTGTCTGGTGCCTGTGGAGGCCAGAAGAGGGTGTTGGATCCTCTGGAACTGAGTTGCAGATGTTGTAAGCTGCCAGGTGGGTGTTGGAAACCAAAGCTGAGTCCTCTGCAAATGGAGTGAGAGCTCTTAACTGCTGAGCAGTCTCTCCAACCTGCATATACATCTTATATCCCTTTTAATGATAAAAGTAATCTGGGAGCTGGAGAAGTGACTTTGGAGTTGAGAGTGTATTTCTTGCTTCTCTAGAAGGTTCACATGGGATCCCATCAAGTGGCTTACAACCACTTGTCACTCCAGCTTCATGAAATTTATTTATTTATTTATTAAACCTAACACCCTCTTCTGGCCTTTGTGGTCACCCACAAGCATAGCATACATTCACACAAACACATATGCATACACATAAATAAAAATAAAACTTAAAAATAGCTTTGAAAGAACTGATTTTAAATATTTTTAAAATCCAGCATAATCCTACTACTTTTAGGTAATAATTTCTACTTTTCAGTAGCTTCAAATTCATAACAATAACACATAAAATCATAAGTTGCACAGCTATATATATAAAAGTTCAAAAAACAAAGTCCATTAAAAAGGAGAAGTATTTGCTTCTCCTGGGGCTAGTGAGGTGGTTCAGTGGGTGAAGGTTCCTGCCAAACCTGACAATCAGAGTTCAGCCTGCGAAGCTAATATGGTGGAAAGAAAGAACTGACTTATACAAGTTGTTCTTTCTGGTATCCACATTTGTGACATGCTAGTGTGTGCACACGCACACACATATTTTAAAAACGCAGCCCTTTTTGAGAATCTGAAGGTATGTTGCAAGCTATTGTTTTCTTCTGTTTGTTTTTTAATTTTATGTGCACTGGTGTTTTCCCTACATGTATGTCTGTGTGAGGGTGCTGAATCTCCTGGAACTGCAGTTACAGACAGTTTGAGCTACCATGTGGGTGCTGGGAATTGAACCTGGGTCTTTTGGAAGAGCAGCAGTGCTCCTAACTCTGAGCCATCTCTCCAGCCCCAAGCTATACTTTTATATATTTAAAAGGATTAGAAACATTAAAATGGTCATGGTGGCCTGCTTTGAATCGATTTCCCTAAAAGTTTATTTCACACTTCAAATTCTTTATGGGTGAATAGGACTGACAGAAATGATCCCAATTTTATCCAAGGAATCACTACTCCTTTGTGATGGGACCCAAAGCCTTTGATGTCTGTGAGACATGGGCTCTGTAAGGGCACAAGTTTTGTCTACTGTGGGTCTCTAGCACAGAACAGTGCCTAGCTCATTTTAGTAGTCAGTAAATACTTGGTGAGTGAATTAAACTTGGCCAAAAAGAGCAAGCAGCCACTGTACTGCAATGACAAGAAAACATGAGGACCCTGCTTGCTCCTCCATCCGGGCTGTTTACCATTTTAGGTTTGTAATTTGTGCTGTTAATTAAAATAAGTGCCAGGCTTAGACATGTTACCTCAGAGAAAGCACCAATTTTTACCATAGTGTGTTCTACAGGTATGTGGTTATAAAGTCTACATCTAAGCTAAGGATGACCGTTCACTCTTACCTATGGACTCCAGTAACACTCTCCTCGACTATGCCTTTGATTTTCTTAAACATGTTGGGATACTTTTTATAAATCCAGTGAGTAAGATCTCCTCCATCATCCAGTATCTGCAACAGAAGCATCAGGAATGACATTTGTCTTGCTAAAGGCTTCTCAGAGTCCTGTATCCCAGTTCCTAATTACCAATGTACAGATATTTCAAAATTTCCATACAGTTATGAAAAGTAACTTAACACCAGAGTTAATACAATAATCTAACAAATGAAAGAGTCATTATACTCAAAGAAAAGAGTAGAGGAGAAAGGCCAACTATAATTCTCTCAGTCAGATGTTCCTACCACATGACATATCTACTTTATGAAGTCACACTGCAACATGAGAATTTTCTTATGGATAATCAGCTCGAGGCCATTAAGACCTCTAGTTCTTGAATATACTTCAGATCTTCAGAAAACTCATTTCTAACTGCTGATTTTAGCACTTTAAATAAATTCAACTAAGGTTTAGTTTAAATAAAAGGACAGATAATTAGTCTCTCTCTCAGAACAATGGCTTTTAAAACTGAAGTTGTTAATCCTTTACTTCTCACAAAGCAAAGGCACTCTCCCACCCGAGGCAGCAGGCAGCACTGGAGGGTTTTGCCTAGCTCAACCTCGCACTCTGTATAAGCCAAATTAAAAATAACCAGGGAACCGTGCAGCATGTAGGTGTACAAGCATGCTTCAGAACAGCTCATCACTATTTCAGGTTGGGATTAAAGATAAATACAATGCTGTGCCCACAAGAGCTTCCATCAGCAGGGGAAGATATATGAATTATAAATCAGGCACAAGGCAGTGGCACTTGAGCCCTTCAGGACTTTTCTAAATTGTGACACCTGTCCTGGAAGGTCTCCACAGACTTCAGTCATCCTCTGCTGGCATGCATTCTTTTTAAACTTCCGGGATATCAGCACTACAAGAATAAAAAGCGCCATACTGAATCCCAGGGAAAACAAAACACCCAACCCTGCATCTATCATCTGATCTTTTGCCTCTGCTCCTACTATTAATCTATTTTATCAACTCTTGCTGGAGGGTAGGGAGCAAGGCAGGACTCTCATTGGAACTCTTAGCCTGGCTACACACTATAAACAGAACCCCTAAGAACCAACGTCCCCAAGGAACCCAAAGAGGGGCCAAGGTCATAGGTCAAGGGAGAGAGCCCCAGTTTCAATCCCAGTGTTGCCCCCACCCCTACCCCAAAAGGCTGGGGAGATGATTTAATGAGTGCTTGCCTTTCCAACATGAGGACCTGAGTTTAACCCCAGCAGCCACATAAAAAGCCAGGCATGGCAGTGCAGAAAAGTCAGTGCTGGGGAGGCAGGGATGGGACCAGCCTCATCTAATTGTGGAGCCCTGGTCCCAGTGGGAGACCCTGTCTCAAAAAACAAGGTGAAGGCTCCTTGCAATGACAGCTGAGGTTGTCTTCTGGCCTCCACAACATGTATACACACATGCATGTGTAAGCATACATCTCTGCCCCAACTCTTCCCATACAAAAGAAGCCAAAAAGAGTTTCTCTCTGCTGTTCTGTATGCATGGATTCCATGAGGTTTTCACTTGCTGCCTCTGATCCCTAGCCACAAGAAAGAATAGACAAAACCCCAATGAATCGGCAACTCTGTGGACTAGGTCCCATTATGCTCATTTTCTTTCCCCTTTATATTTGTTTATGTATCGAGACTGGCTGATCACCAAGACCTAGTGGGGCTATGCTAACGAATGCCTCCTACCATACCTGGCTTTTACGTGGGTGCTGGGTTCCTAACTCAGCCCCTCATGCTGGGCAGCAAGCCTTTACCCAGGGAACCATCTCCTCAGCCTGACCCTCCTGTTGGGATTGTAGGCACCCATCATCACACCTGGCTTACACAGTGCTGAGGATCAAATACAGGGCTTCATACACGCCAGACAAATACTCTGCCAACCGAGCTATATCCCAGCACCTACTTTCCCCTTTAAACAAAACATCCAGCACAGGCAGGAGTTGCTTTTTACAGTATTTATTTAATGACTGCAGCCTATAAATTCCTGTGCTGTCCCACTGCAGAAAGTTCTTGACCCCAGATAATCTTCTTTTTCCTGAGGCTGAAATGTAAGGAAAAGCATTGGGTCTTGACCAAAGATACGTACTGTATTTTCTGAGGTGACAACTGTTTTGATCCTTGTACCTGTCTTTACTAACTTTTCTAGCGGCTGTGTTGGCTCCGCAGACTGTAAAAGCTCTCTGGGTACAAAGCCACAGCCTCTCTGTGTTCATGACTACAAAATTAGTTTTATTCCCGAGAGACAAGGGCCCCGTCCCTATATTCCTTGCTGTCTGTCAGTCAGACTCCCTCCTTGTCACCTACAATTGCTGGATGAGCCGCTCACCTTGGAGCCACCAGCACCCCCTCCTCAAGCCAGCATTGGTGTCATGTGACCTGGACCACAGGCTTCAGCAGAAGCTGCTTCTTGGAGGGGCACCTAATTTTCAGCCGTCAGCAGCAAGGGATCCTCTCTCTCTCTCTCTCTCTCTCTCTCTCTCTCTCTCTCTCTCTCTCTCTCTCTCTGTCTCCTCTCTCCTCTCTCTCCTTTCTTTCCTTTTTTTTTTTAAAGCTGATTCTCTAATTTCTTAATAATGCAGAAATGTTGGTAAAGCAGGAAATGTATCATATTTTATGCCTTTTTCTTTCTCTATGAATGTTGTGTTTTCAGTCTTCAAGAATTTGTGTGTGTGTGTGTGTGTGTGTGTGTGTGTGTGTGTGTGTGTGTGTGTATTTAAACAGTGTAAACCCAGTGCTTCAAGCATGTTAAACCAGGGCGCTATACCCCAGCCCTACATTTAATTTTTTTTCTTTTCTTTTTTTCTTCAGAGCTGGGGACTAAACCTAGGGCTTTGTGCATGTCAGGCACCGAGCTATATCCACAGCCTTTCAGACTGGATCTTTTAAACAATGAAACAAAAAATGAAGTAGAAAGGAAAACCCCTAAACTTCCTGGTCATCTTTTACAAAATAAAGAGAAGAAATTTGTACTTGGAAGTGCTCCAAGCATATTAAAAACTCAGTGTGTCGACTCCCAGGAACGCTAAGTGCCTCCTCAGGAGCCCCAAGGCGTCTGTGCCTTCCCATGTATTTGTTTGCTGATGTTTACGTGACTGTTACTGGAGCAACCGTGAACAGCAGCAGGGGACAGAAATGCATTACTTCTGCATTTTGTCAGTCATGTGTGAATCCTGAGTAGCATTTTCATGTTACTTATAAATGTGAATGCTTCCAGGCTGGCCTCAAACTCATGATCTGCCTGTCTCAGCTTCCTGAATGTTGGGATTACAGATGCGCACCACCACACTGAGCTAATCAAGACTCTGCAGTTATAAGAAGTTTAGTACTACAGGTATCCTAAGCAGATCCACTGAATTTTGCTGGAAACCCAGGTACATCGGACAGAAGTGGGTCCATTTTCCTTCCTTCTTATGGGAACCCCCTACCCAAGTCAGTCTTTTCCACCATCACCCTGCCCTTAGGAGCAGCATTAACAGAAATCTGACCTACCATGTTTGGCTGCCAGCCCTCCACATTCACACATCTGTCAATGCACCACCAAAAGTCGTCTTCTGACTCTCCTTTCCAGGCAAAGACAGGAAATCCTAAAAATAATGAAAGGAACAAAGAGAAGCCATTAAAGGCTATAAAAGGGCCAATCCCCAAATTTTACCAAGAAAGTGCCAATTTCCACAAATTCCTCACTTTCTCATTTTGCTATATTCTTAGGATTAACTTCCTTCACTGGTTAATACTGCCCTCAAGTCCCCTTATCCATTCCTTTTCCTGTAGTGGCTATTCTGTTCTTGGCTCAAAAAGGGACAAGCAGCAAGAATGAAGAGCTGCTAAAAATAGGACTACCAGGGGAAAAAGAAGAAACCAGAAATCAGCACTTGGTCCAGAGTCAAGCTGTCCGTCTCTTCATCTCCCAAATTCACTTGTTGTTTTTCTTAGTTATTCCACATGCTCACTGGAAACTCTCACACTTTATCTACTAAAGTGCTTGTTCCACACCACAGCCTCATGAAGTAGAATGTCCATTACGCAAGCTGCTTAACTTAGCTGGGTGAGAACCAAATGAATGCGAACTTTTTAAAAGCCATCATTTATGTATTTATGTGTCACTGAACATAGATTTATTTATTTTCACAGCGTTGGGGAATGAAGCTAGGAATCACAGAGTACACTAAACAAGTGCTCTTACCATTGAACTTCATCCCTAGCTTTAGTTATTCATTCATTTATTATTTATTCACTTAGGTAGTTTTGAGACAACATCTCACCATGGAGTTCAGGCCAGCCTCAAACTCGTGGTCATTCTCATGCCTCAGCCTTCTGAGGGCTGGATTGCAGATGTGAACCATGATCCCCAACCTTTTTATTTTGAGACAAGATTTTACTAAGTTTCCCAGGCAGGTTCTGAACTATGATCTTTTGGCCCCAACCTTCCTAATATCTGGGATGATAGGAATATGTCATGCCTGGTCTTGAATATGGGTTTATAAGCAGTTGAGGCATTTTGTCAAACGAGTCTTTTTATTATCATTTATGTAAGTATGCTACCTTCTTTACCACAAATAACATTCTGAGAGCAAAGGTATTTCTCATTACCTATTAAGTAGGAGTGCTGCAAGCCACAGGAAAATGTGATGGAACCCAGCTACTATCACAAAAGCTACTACTTGGAAAGGTCAAGGACCTTTTCAAAGGTCAAGCCATGGCTTAAGAAGTCTTGGTGATATTTTAGCTTTTGTATATATATTAGCCGATTCCTACAATGATTTTCTTGTGTTCTATGTGTGTTTCCAAGAACTCCTAACAGTGTATTTATCTAAAATACCTATCAAGCATCCAAGGCCAAACGATCTCCTGAAGTAAGGTTATGGAAACAATGCCTGTCTCCTAAGTCAGGCGGATAGCTTTACTTCTTGTGCAATGTAAGCTAAGATCCAGCCTTACTAACATTATAGACTCCTAACTTCTTACCTAACCACTTCTAGGAATGTAGATGAAGCATATAAATTCCCTTTTTGATATACTAACTGATCATTAGTTCTCAGTTGACCTCCTCCTTTACCACTCCCTTTTTGGGTTGTAAAAGAAAGCCTGACAGCCACTGTCTGAGGAAAATTCTTACCTACCTTTATGACCTTGTAAGAATTCAAGCCTGGCAGGGCCGGGCAGTGGTGGCGCACACCTTTAATCCCAGCACTTGGGAGGCAGAGCCAGGCGGATCTCTGTGAGTTCGAGGCCAGCCTGGGCTACAGAGTGAGATCCAGGACAGACACCAAAACTACACAGAGAAACCCTGTCTCGAAAAAAAAAAAAAAAAAAAAAAACCCAAAAAATAAAAAATAAAAATTCAAGCCGGGTGATCTTGCTTTGGCTAGAGCACTGCTGCTATTGCATGAGTATATAGCTGTAAACCTCAGAGACTTGGAAGGATTTTTGAGGATTTGGACTGGAGAGGATTTTGACTGGGGAACTAGATGGAGAACTAGAAGAATGAGATGGGAGACGAGGAAGAGCCAGATGGGTAAGAATGAGATGAGAAAGACCAAGATGGGGCAGAACTAAGATGAGAGAATTAAGATAGAACTTAGAGGGGACAGCAGACAAAGGTAGAGAGAAATCAGGCACGAGAACAGAACTGAAGCTGTGTAGATAGGATTTTATCCCAGAGGAATAGAGTAGATGGACTAAGAGCTTGGTGTACTTAGATTCTTTTCCCGAAAATAATTCTTGCCATTCGTAGTTTCTCTTCTGGGCCCCTGGGAAGAAGATTATTAAGGCTCGTCCTTAATAATTTTCAAGATTAGAACCAATAATCATTTGCCAAAAAAAAAAAAAAAGAATGTCTATGTACAATTCACTGTATATACATTTAATATTTATATAATTTTCTATTATATACAAGCAGTACAATTTTATAAATAAATGAAAGAACTAATGAAATGCCAAGAGTGTTAGCAAAAGGAGAGATAAGTATATTCTGTAGGGCTTTCCTGGAGTCTCCCAAGAGCTCAGAAGCCGTTTTGGTACCCAGCTCTATGTGTATTGCTACACATAGGGAAGACAGAAAGCTGACAGAATCTAAATATCTCTATTTCTGTCCTTCAGGCATTAGTGGATATTGTGATTAATTAACCTGCCAGGCCAAGTCCTCTTTACTGCTGAAGCAGACGTGCTGAACATTAAATCAGGGTGAGCCACGTGCTAGAAAACCTGCAGGGCCACAAACTACGGCTCGAGCATTACATACTGTTTGGTTGGAATCTCTAGCTCACTCCTGCTTGATCCAGAAAGCCCCATTACCGTCTTTCTCCAAACCTCGCCCTCTCAGAGATCCTCTGAACAAAGGGAAGGCACCAAAAAGCCCAGTTCAGCATTCTTAGAGGCTAAGGCAGATCCTCCCCGGAAGTTGCCAGCAGCCCAAGTCCCTGCCCAAACATTCCAGCTTTGACTATACTTGGGCACAAACCCAGCTGGAGGGGGACACGTCATCACCCCTCACCTGTGGGCTATATAAGCTCCCTGCTTTAGCTCAGGCATGTGACTTCTGCCTGGATCTCTGGGGCTGGAGAACTCACCTGGGAGCTGCTTTGCTCAAATAAACCTCTTCTTTTACTTTTTCAATTCGGCCTGATCTGGCTTATGCATGGGCAGAGAAACCTAGATTAGGGTACAGAAACCCTATTACATACTATCTTGAGTGTGAGCAGTGTTCACTGGTGGCCTATTAGTGAATCAAACAGAAGTGTGATTACCAGAGCACTAGACGTAGGTAGCTATTTGCCAACTATTAAACAACAGAGTTAACTAGACCATGATTGACAAAAGGAGCCCCTGAAGAAAATAAATGCATCAATAACAGGATCCTGTCAACCTTTCTTAAAGATTTACACTGAAACAGTGGAACTTCTTGAAACTTATCTTAGCCAAAGACAGACAAAAATCAGCTCTTACCACTTTCTGCTAGAGCGGCGGCCACTTCATTGAGCGTGGAGTAGATGTTGCAGGCGGCCCACCGGCACTGTGCCCCCAGAGCACCCAGAGTCTCCATAAGCACCTGTGTTACAGAACGAGGAGATCAACAAGCCTGTAACAAACAACAGCTGCAGACTGAGTTTTGTCTTGAGACAGCGTCTCATGTAACCAGGCAGTCCCCCACTTCCACTTCTCAAGAGTAGCCGGTGTCACCACTCTTGGCTACGTTTATGTCTTTGATGATACAATACATCAAGACTAAGCCAGGCCAATGGTTTTCAAGTTGTGCTTTATAGGATTTCTTCAGTATTTTCAACACAGGGCAGAGGAGTCGGCTGCAGTAAAAGTCTACACCTTCCCCAGTAAGATTTAATTAAGAATTTCAGAGAAAAAGTATTTTTTATCAAAACACAGACATACAGTTCTACTTCTGTTTAGGATACAGGAAGCAAGAGAGTTCCAGGTAGGGCTGGGGATGTGGCTTAGTTGGTAGGGTGTTTGCAGGAAGCCCTGGATTGGATTCCCAGCAACTCACCAAACCAAGCATAGTGGCACAGGCCTGGAATCTCAGAACTGGGTAAGAGGCAAGATATCCAGACATTCAAGGTCATCCTTGAAAGTCTGAGGTCAATTTGGATACGGACTGGGTTTGTTTCATTTTTTGGCAAAGCATGGGAAGAAAAGGTAGCTGCATATGTAAGGGTAAGAAAAATCAGCTAAAATTCTAATTAAAGGTTAATTTAGGAAAGTGTATAATTTGGAATTTTGTGTTGCTCCAACTAGACACAAGATTTCATACTCACAGGCAAGCTCCTTTCCAAGAATACCTGCCTCATACTCACAAGAACTAGAGTCAGGGGTCTGATTGCACTACACTAGTCTCTCATGGGAAACAAGTCTTAAGAAAGAGAAGTTTAGAAACCATGCCTGCCACGAGAGCCATGCAGAGACCCACTGCTCATGGGGGAGACATAAGCAAAACTGGGAAGGCCACACAGACCATCCCGAGCCCAGGGTGGATATAGATTATACTCTATTTATAATCTACAGATCTATTACTTCTCTCTTTCTCCACAAAAGACAAGAAAACATCTTCTTCCAGACCTACCAATGAAAAGAAGAAAGACTTGGCTGCTCCAGAAAGCAACAGGGACACTAGGAAAGCCTGGCCCTCACAGAGGCCTGCTTAATACTGGCTGGATTACAAGATTCAAGACTCTCACTTGCCCTCACCAAGAAGGCTACCCCAACACAAGGTAGCAGTCTAGGGCAGGCCCCTGAGGAGAGTCCCTCTGCGGCACACTGGTGTTCAAGCAGCTGAAAACACTAGGGAAAGCCCTTTAGTAATCTATAATCAGCCTAAGTAACCTATAGTCTTCAGCCCACTGCTGAAGAAATGTGAAGCCTATAGTGCACAAAACAGTTGAAATCCCGGGCACTTCACAACTCCATGGGAAACCAAAGTCATCACTCAAAGATTTTCAAGATGTGAAAACAAAGATCTGTAGTGTGTTTGCCTAGTGTGCCTGAAGTGCTGGATTTGATTCTCAACGCTCATGTGTGATGGCACATGTCCAAATCCCAGCACTCAAGAGGCAGGAGAACTAGAAGTTCAAGGTCATCCGTAGCTATACGGTACATTCAAGGGTAGCTTGGTTTAAGTGAGAATGTCTCAAAAAGCAAAATAAATATAAACTATGATTAAACAGAAACATAACATAACAACTGTTTATGCTAATAAAAAAAAGATACACAGCATTCACAAACAGGGAATTTTAGCAGATAGAGATGGAAACTATAAAAACAAGTCAAATACAAATGCCAGAAACAAAACCACATAAGGTACTGAGAATTCCTACAACAGTCTTTCCAGGCTGGGCACTTTCAAGGACACATCAGCCAACTTTAAGACAGCAGAACAGAAATTACAAACTAAAATATAAAGAGAAACGGAGAGCAGAGAAAACAAAGCAAAGCAAAACAAAACAAAACAAAAACCCCCAGAACCGACCATCCAAGAAGAATGGGATGTTATCAAATGACCTGACACAGGTCACTGAACTTCCCAAAAGTAAAGATGGTGAGAACAGGACAAAAGAAATCCACTTAGAGTTAACGGACAATCTTGTTCCAAAATTAATAAAAGAAGATCCAGGAACAGTCTCTGACTAGTGCCAAGATCCACTGAAAGCAGCCTCGTGAGTTCCTTTGAAAAACGACTGATTCCAAGGCTATGGAACATACAAGGTAAGAGTGGATCATCATGTACCAGAAGTAAGGAATGAAAGGGAAGGGCCAGAGCAAAAGAGAGGCCGGGAGATAACTTAGTAAAGTGCTTGCTTTGCAAGCTTGAGGACCTGAGTTTGATCTCCAGAACCTTCATGTAAAACAAAACAAACAAAAAAGCTGAAGACAGAAGATCCCTGAAGCTTGTTGACCAGCTAACCTTGCCTACTTGGAAAGCACCAGGCTAGACCCTGTTTCTAAATACAAGGTAGGTGGCTCCTAAGGAAAATGATGCCTGACATTCTCTGGCTTCCACACACACGTGTACAAGTGTACACACACACACACACACACACACACACACACACACACACACACACACACTCATGTGTCTCATGAGGTGAAATGCAGGGAGGACTGGAGTGTGGATGCCCAGCACACATGTAAAAAACTGGCACAGAGCAGTGTGCCCCAATGGTGTGTGCCTTATTCCAGCACTGGGAGGTGGGGAGAGGAGGGACCCTGAGGCTTGCTGGCCGCATAGCCAGCGAGTCTAGCCCAATCAGTGAGCTCCAGGTTCTACCTCAAAAAATAAGGTGAAATGTGATTGAGGAAGACATCTGAGGTTGACCTCCAGCACACATGTGTACACACACACACACTTATGTGCACACATACATAGACACAAGCACATCATACATACACACACACACACACACACACACACACACACACGCAGACAAATTTTTTAAAATTAAAAAATTAAGCCACAGAAGTCACATTTGGGGCTTATTTTGGCTAAACTGAGGATAAAATAAGCATCAATATGTTTAATGAGTTATAATCGATTATTTTCAATTAGAACAGAAAACAATGGGCTGGGCATGGAAGAAATGCTGAAGGCATGTCAAGGAAATCTGGCACAACTATGACTATGATGGAAAATAAGAAATGACATTCAAAAATTCTCAAGTGTGTTGTGGTACACTTCCTATCCTAGCACTCAGGGGCAGGAAGGTGACTAGTCTGAGGATAGCCTGGATAGAGAATTCCAGGCTAATTTGGGTTACATATATAGTGAGACCATCTAAAAAATTAAAAACAGCGACTGAACTAGGCCCTCTGAATGTGGGTGACAGTTATGTGGCTAGATCTGTTTGGGGAGCCCTTAGCAGTGGGACCAGGCCTTATCCCAGGTGCATGAACTGGCTTTTTGGAACACATTCCCTAGGGATACCTAGGATACCTTGCTCAGCCTAGACACAGGGGGGAGGGGCTTGGTCCTGCTTCAGCTTAGTGTGCCAGTCTTTGTTGACTCCCCAAGGGAAGCTTTACCCTCTATAAGGAGTGGGGGCGGGGAGGGGGAGTAGAAAAAAAGGGAAGGAGGGGGAACTAGGATTGGTATGTAAAATGAAAAAAAATTTTTAAATAAATAAATGAAAAAAATTAAAAGCAAGAGGCCAGCAGCAAGATGCCTCAGAGAGTAAAGGCACTTGCTGCCAAGCCTCAAGAGGGTGTTGGATATCCTGGAACTGGAGTCACAGCCATTGTGAGTTCTCCGACACAGGTGTTGAAAAGCAAACTCTGGTCTTCTGTAAGAGTAGCAAGCACTCTTTTTTTTTAAATATTATTTTATGTGTATAGTTTTATTTGCTTATTTGTTTATTATGTATACAGTGCTCTATCTGCATGTACACCTGCAGACCAGAAGAGGGCACCAGATCTCATTACAGACGGTTGTGAACCACCATATGGTTGCTGGGAATTGAACTCAGGACCTCTGGAATAACAAGCAGTGCTCTTAACCCCTAAGCTATCTCTCTCCAGACCCTTGACTTGACTTTAATTATCATTTAGAAGCAGCATTAATGAAATTAAGTTAGAAGAACTATGGAGACATAACTGAATAAAGAAATGATTAACTACATACTAGAGGGACTTCCCCAAACTCCTTCCTTCCCTCCTTCTTTCTTTTGGGAGGGGCAGGGTCTCATATAATCCAGTAACTCAGACTGGTCACAAGCTAGCTCACTATGTAGTGGAGGATGACCCTGAACTTCTGGTCATCTTACCTCACTCTCCCTAGAGCTGGGATTACAGGGATGCATCACCATGTCCATAAAACTAAGCTGCATCTCTAGCCCCAAGTCTTTATATGTTTATATATTATATAGAGGTCATGTTTGAATATTATAAAATTAATATGAACATATAATTGGAAAAATTATAGAGATTAAAAACATGAAGAAAAATATTATTTTTGTAGGTGGCAATAATAAACTTATACTAAACTTGGTAAACCAATAATGATTAATTCATCCAGGAAAAATAAAGAGGGAGGCCCACAGGGTGGTGATGTTCAGTTAGGCTGGGGTGAAAACAAACTAGCTCTAACTTAGCAGCATGAGGCTGTAAGTAGAGAAGCACATCCTACTGTAAGTTACCACCTGAATGCCAATAGGAGAGGCCAGGAAAGGTCTCAACATGTTTCTGCCTCAATTCATTTATCTGTAGCTCCAAAAAGAAATTACTTTTTAATTTACTGTATTAATTTTAGGAATTCAGGGTATCCTTTTCCTCAGAGAACATGTAACTCAGCAAAGTCTCAGAGGAATGCAGCTGCTACCTGTTCCTAAGGAGCTGCTGTCTGCCCTTCATTAGCAAGGTGACCATGTTAAGAGTGAGCTGAAGGAGAGACAATCTCTAAAGGTGACTGAGGTACTGGCAATATAGCTCAGTGATAGGAATACCAGTCTAGTTTGTAATAAGGCCCTGGGTTCAATCTCCACCACTGAAAAAACAAACAAACAAACAAACAAACAAAGTAACTAACTGTGCACATGTCTGAAATCCCAGCACTCAGGAAGGAGAGGCAGGAAGATCAGGTGTTTGACTAATACCAACTTCATCTGCTACACAGCAGGTGCATGATGGGTGATGTCATTCTGTATGCTGTGAAAATGTGTTGCTCTGATTGGTTGATAAATAAAGCTGTTTGACCAATGGTGAGACAGAATAAGATTAGGTGGGACATTCTTTTTTTTTTTTTTTTTTAATTTTTTCTTCAAGACAGGGTTTCTTCATGTAGTTTTGTTGTTGTTGTTATTTATTTATTTATTATGTATATAGAAGAGGGTATTTATATATATATTTACTTATTTATTATGTATATAGAAGAGGGCACCAGATTTCATTATAAACGGTTGTGAGCCACCATGTGGTTGCTGGGAATTGAACTCAGAACCTCTGGAAGAACAGTCAGTGCTCTTAACCTCTGAGCCATCTCTCCAGCCCTTTGTGGGACATTCTAACTAGAGAGAGAGGAAGAAGACAGAGCAGAGGAGATGTTGCTAGCTGTGGCCAGAAGAAGCAAGATGTAAAGGTACTGGTAAGCCATGAGCCATGTGACAAAGTACAGCTTTATAGAAATGGGTTAATTTAAGATATAAGAACTAGCTGGGGTTTCTAGGATTACCATTTCATAGTTGGTTACTACAGCTAGCACAGTGGAGACCCTGGCAGCAAAAGTAGCTATCACAGTTAGTTAATTTTTCATTCTATTGGGCACAATAAATTTAATTCAATAGTTATATACAATTCAATTTTCTTTGAAAGTTATAAATTTATAAATTCAAGATCCATTTGCTTTTGGGATACCATCTTACAAGCACTCCAATTTGCAATAACTCTCGTTAAGGAAGGGAATGGCTCAGTTGCCTTTAGCCTACTGGCTATGGGTGGGATAGGACCTCTGTTGGTCTTTTCTGTGTTGAGCACACAGATTGCAAGCCCAGTGCCACTTTGAGATCTTTGGCAGCAGTTAACTCTGCAGCTCACACACGATTGAGCCTGTATGATAATGAGTGTTCAGAGACGGGTTATACCAGGGGGCGCTCACCAACCTAAGACAGAGCACCTGTGTGGCCTGGGCAGGTGTCTCCATGACGGGTAAGGACCTGTAGAGTCCTGCCCCCCACTTTGGGTAACTGTTGCCTTGCTTGCTGACTTTGACCTTGACATCCTCCCTATGCTAATTCCCTGCTGGGTTCCACCCTCCTGAATGCTTAAGGGAAGTTCCTTGTCTGTGTATCCTGCATAATAGGCATTAACAGCTCAGATGCAAGATTGTAAAACATCGGTAGCGAACTTCTGCCCTCTGGGGTTCTCCCATTGTGCTGTAATCCTGTATTTAAGACCTTCAATAAATGATATTCAGCAAAAAATAAAAAAATAAATAAAAAAGAACTAGCTGGGTAGTGGGGGTGCACACCTTTAATCCCAGCACTCGGGAGGCAGAGCCTGTGAGTTCGAGGCCAGCCTGGTCTATAGGGTGAGATCCAGGACAGGCACCAATACTACACAGAGAAACCCTGTCTCAAACCAACCCCCCCCCCAAAAAAAACAAAAACAAAAACAAAAACTAGATAACAAGAAGTCTGCCATGGTTATAGTTTAAAAATAATATTAGCCTGTGTGTGTTTATTTGGGTCTGAGTGGCTGCGGGACCAGTAAGTGAGAGAGATTTGTCCTAATTGTGGGCCAGGTGGGACCATAGGAAAACTTTCAGCTGCAGGCACACACACACACACACACACACACACACACACACACA